TATATTAGTTATTTTTTTTACCCTATTCACCTGGGGTGTCTCGCCTAAACTAGTCACTTATGTAGCGTCTGGACCAATCAAACACACAATATATATTTTGTTAGCTATATTTAACAAATACTCTGTAACACACCTCAGTTAACAAGCCATATGAGGACCTATGGACCCTTCCCCCGAAATGCGTAACACCCTAGGAAAGCCGAACAGGCCCCTGGTCCCCATGGCAACTAATGCTGATACCACTGGTTTTATGACCCAGAGGATGCCCTGGGGGTAAGCAGATAAACATCACATTTTCATTTTTGGGTGAACTATCCCTTTAATAGTGAATATGTATTCCCTAATCTTAAATGTTGCCTTGACTGGATTCAAATAATCGATTGACAGTCCTGAAGATAAAGGAAAGATTGACAGATGACAGTATAAGCAAAGTCATGTTAAATATCTGAAATGAATACTGCCTCTGTCACATGTATCAAATGTATCCTCATTACTCTGTTGTCAATGTGATGATGTCCTGCTAATAATGACATACTCAGACACTGAGTCTCTCTGTCCTCTCTCTGTCCTCCTGTCTGTGTCAGTTCAAGTCAAGCAGACATTGTCCCCTCAGTTCATCTGCCTATTCCCTCATTTAATTACTGGATTGATTTAAGTTGTCACCACTGTTAGGGTCCAACCCTGTGGAGGCTTCACGTCAGGAACCTGGTGTTATTTCTTTGGCTGCTTGAAGGTTTAATTCAGCAGTGAGAGACATAAGACGCATTAGACATGCTGCGAAAGAAGCATCTCTGGCGATAGGTAAACCATCTTGTTTGTACTGCTACCATGTCAACTTAGCTTTTCCACTAAACCTGTTTGTCATGTATTTGAAATTAAATGTTTGGTAACACTTTAGCTTAGGGACCAATTCTCACTATTAACTAGCTGCTTATAACACGCATATTACTAGCAAATTGGCTGTTTATTAGTACTTATAAAGCACATATTAATGCCTTATTCTGCATGACCTTATTTTAGATCCCTTAATCCACCCCATACCTAAACTAAACAACTAGGCCTACCTTACTAACCATTAATAAGCAGCAAACTAGGAGTTTACTGAGGCAAAAGTCATAGTTAATAGTTAGTTAATAGTGAGAACTGGTCCCCAAACTAAAGTCTGACCAAATATTTGTAAGCGGTTACGGTAACACTTTAGAATAGAGAACACTAATTCACTTTTAACTACGGCTTTTCCCTCAATAAACTCCTAATTTGCTTCTTATTAATAGTAAGGTAGTTGTTACGTTTAGGTATGGGGTGGATTAAGGGATATAGAATAAAGTCATGCAGAATAAGGCATTAATATGTGCTTTATAAGTAAAGTACTAATAAACAGCCATTACTAGTAATATGCATGCTAATAAGCACCTAGTTAATAGTGAGAATAAGTCCTTAAAGGAGACATATCATGCCCCTTTTTACAATATGTAATATAAGTCTCTGGTGTCCCCAGAATTTATCTGTGAAGTTTCAGCTCAAAATACCCCACAGATCATTTATTATATCATTTTGAAAATGCCTATTTTGAGTGGAAGCAGAAACACGCTGTTTTTCGGGCCTTCCAGGTTTCTTTAAATGCAAATGAGCTGCTGCTTCCAGCACGGACCTTGTAAAAAACATCTGTTTTGGTTCTGATTATCATGTTTATTGCGCTGCGGTTTAAACCATACGAGTTTAAACTTCAGATATACGGTTTTCTGAGAGCACACATCCGAAGCACACGCACAGAAAGCGGCTGTCACAGCATGTGAGTACTAAACTAAGTTCTCATTCACACACAAGTTTACGTTAAAAACACACGAGTTACAAAAACAGTTGGTTATGTCTGTGAAGGTAAACTGCTGGGAAATAAATCGCATGTTTATTTTAGATCTAAACAGTGTTCTGTGCTCGTCTGTGCAGCCAAAGGCAGAACAGTTAGCATGTTTTGCTCAAACTTTCACCACGGCATTAGAGCTGGTACACCGTTGTCGCTTGTGAAATCAAATGACAGCGCCGTGGGTGGAAACGTACAGATTAAGGGGCGGTAATATTATAATGAGATCCCTTTGCCACGTCACCAAGGGAGCGAAATCAGACACACTCGTTTTCTCAGACGCTTGCAGAAAAAGGCGTCCCAAAACAAAGTTACTGGGTTAATCTTTTTCACGTTTCCTTGGTTGGTAGATGCACCGGGGACCTGATTATAGCACTTAAAACCTGGAAAAGTCAGATTTTCATGATATGTCACCTTTAAAGTTTTACCGAAGTTACAGTTTAGTAGATTTAAAATATATTAATCAATATCAAATAACACACTACAGTTAAAATTGTACTCAAGTACTTTACATGTGCTTTAGTATGTTAGTCAACACATCAAAATGAGTGTATGTCTTTAAAGCATAACAAAAGATGATTCAAACGTAATAATTTAAAATGCTATTTTAAAGTAAAACTTTTTAATTTGACATTTTAGCAAATAGCACTTCATAAAAGTAAAAAAAAACAGTCATAAAAGTGTACACTCATTAAGTTAATTTAAGTGGCCTTTTATTTCATTCAAATTATATTTTCTACAAGTACAGTTTTTTAAAATATACTTTTATATGATTTGAAGTACACTACACTAAGTGCACATTCAGTATTCTTTTTCGCAAGCATAGATACTATTTTCCTAATGCATACATGATGAATGTAGTACTGCTTTAAAGCAGTGATGTGGTTATTGTCATTTCAGCTCTGAAGGTTGGCTGTTTGAGTGTTTTTTCTAGAGAATCAAAGCATCCTTTCTGTTGTTTGCCATCTTGACTGCTTTGGTGTGATTGTTTGAGGTTGTTGAGTTTAATTTTACAATATGATGGGTTCCACTGCTTCATCTTAAAATCACAAAGCAAGTGCAGAAATTTCCCCTCACCAGAGCAACCCAGCAACTTTCCATCACAATGTTCCCAGTGTGCTGGTGTGATGACAGCCTCTCCCAGCGCAACCCCCCCCCTCTTTCTCTCTTCAAGTAGCTTCATTGGCATGACTTTTGTATTACAGTGTTGCCAAAGCATTTTAAGTACACTCTAAAATATGTTGTTTTGACCCAGCGGTTGGGTTGTTTTGAACAACCGCTGGGTCAAAACAACCCAATAGCTGGGTTTGTCCCTTTTTAACCCAGCGCTGGGTTATATTTAACCCAGCATTTTTAGAGTGTATATGTAAAATACAGAATATAATTACAGCACCAAAGTAATAAAGGAGACGATAGATGAGTAATAAATAAGAGGGAAAACGAGCAGACAGTATCTCTACTATTAATTATAACAATTACAATGTACAATGAAGAATATGTCAAATGAACCAAATGAATACAATGGATTAACCATTTGGTATGGTGTATACAAATGTTGCAGCTAGTTTGGCTGCCATGTCATCCTCTCCAAATACATAGTGGAGTTTCTCTGAGTCATTTAGAGTAAAGAATAAAAAATTAAATGCTGCAGATTGTGGAAAAAATATGTCTGTTGTAGTTGTGTACTTGGGACAGACAAGACGAAAGTGTTTCTCTTCCTCTATTTGATTCATGTCACAATGTTTGCATAATCGCTGTTCTCTTGGTATCCAGGATTTTTTATGTCTTCCTTGAGTCGATATTTTGAAACAATTTGTCCTTATTTTAATTGTTTAATTGATTTAAGTAATTTGCCAATTTGGTGGTTCTATTTAGGGCCGAATAACAATTAACCAAATTAATTTTAAAATTTTTCATCATAATTAGATTTTTGTAAACTTTTTATTTTTATTTTATAAATGTTGGGGTCGTGGTTGGAGTCAGACTCAGCATGAGGTTCATTCATCAGTTTAAGCGCGAGTATATTTAGAGGATGAGACGCTGTGGGGGTTTTATTGGCAAAAAAGGGCTTTATATTGAATATATTAAGTGTCAGATTAACTCAAGTGATGCCAGAATCGAACAGCTCTTTTTGGCATTTCAATGTGTAAGGGGTATAAGCCCAGTTCAGCCCTGCAGGCATTGTTAGAAGTGCCTCTGTTTACCCTTAGAAAGTTTTTTGCAAATTCCAGTTGTGTTCTTTCTATTAAACTTTTATCCCAATTTTCAAACCTTAATATTGGTCCCCAAATTTCACTCACGTACAGTAGAATTGGTGATGTAATTTGATCCATGTTTTAATTGGCCAAACCGTGATTTTATGACATAAAATGCCCTCCGGGTCCTCTCATTCAAGGCCTTTACAGCTAGACTGAAGCCCCCTGATGCTGAATTCTCGATGCCCAGGTATGTGTAGTTAGTGCTGTGCTAGGACTTCTCCTCCATAAGTGAACTGGTATCTGTTTCCCTTAGACCTGGCCTCCTTCTGGAAGACCATGACTCTGGTTTTGTCCAGTTTTACCGTCAGTGCCCGTTCCTCGCAGTACTGTTCCAGCAGGGCCAGGCTGTGCTGGAGACCCTCAGCTGTGGGAGACAGCAGAAGCAGGTCATCCGCATACAGCAGGCATTTGACTTCAGAGTCAAGTCAAGTCACCTTTATTTATAAAGCGCTTTATACAATACAGATTGTGTCAAAGCAGCTTTACAGTGTCAAACAGGAAAATAGTTTGTCAGTAATGCAAGAAGACAATAACAAAGAGTGAGGGATAACAAAGCAGAGTGAGGCCAGGGATCCAGATCCAGAGCTTCTGGCAGCTCATTGATGTAGATGTTAAACAGTGTTGGGCTCAGACTGCATCCCTGCCTCACTTCACGGCTCTGCTGGAAGAACGCAGTTCTGAGATTCCCCAGTTTGACCGCACATTTACTGTTTTTATGGATTGTATAACATCAAATGTTTTTCCACCAATGGCAATTAGTAATGATTTGTTTAGTAAACCATCATGCCAAATAGAGTCGAAAGCTTTTTTTAAATCAACAAAACAACTCTCTCTCTCTCGTTCTCTCGCTCCTCCCCGTAACCCCTCGCCTCATGCTGTCTAAGCCATTCAAGTGGAACACTACAGGATTATCCTCTGCATGAGCTCCAGACGCACTCCACAACCAAGACCGCATAAGAAACAAGTACTGAACTAAAACAATAAAGACCGGTAATATCACCGACCGGACCTGTGTAATGATATCTGGATTATTTTACTCTTAAAGGTCCTACCATTGTTTGTGAATGGATTCACTGGTGGTAAGTTCATAGCTTGATTTATCAAAACAAAGAGCTGGATACTTTGTGCATGGAAGGTTTTTTTGTCATTTGGAGTAATTTATTTTAGGGATCAATTATTAACAATTTAACTTAACAACAACCTTACTAACTGTTAATAAGCAGCAGATTAGGAGTTTATTGAGACAAAGGGCACAGTTAATAGTTAGTTAATGGTAAGAATTGATCCCCAAACGAAAGTGTGACCAGAAGTGTCCAGCATATGTGTGAAGTCCTACAGTACTGTGTGTCTCATGAAGGTGGTTGAGAGTGAGCAGAGCTGAAATCTACACAGAGAGAAGCTAGTCTATATCTGACACTATATAAAACATCTCAATATCAGTATACGACTATAAATTACCTGTTTTGGTACACTTACATAGCTAGTTGATCCAAAACGCATAATCATAAAATAATACAGCAGTAGATTCAGCATGCTTTGCAGTAAGCAATTCAGGCTACAACACAGTCTTGTCTTATGAAAATATAAAGTTATGATAATAGTTTTTCACATGCTGGCAACAATTTATGTCACTGTTTTCCTGCCCTCTGACAGGTTACATTGTGTCTAATCACTGCAATTAGTCCGTTTGGAAAATGTTCTAATAAAATTAGAAACAAGAAAAAGAAGAAAAAAGATCGAAGTGCAGATCTCTTCAGTGCAAATTCACTTAACAGTTGTGCCACTCAATTCGAATAAATTGCTTTATTGGCATGACATACTTAGCACTGTACATAACAAAACAAAAAACATATTTACTATAACTTATGCACACAATATCAGTGCACAAACCTTTGTCTTATTTACCAACTACTCACAATTAAGCGCAATCCCCTTGTGAAAAAAGTGTGCTTAATTGTGTTGAATGTTATCTTGTAGTGTACTTAAAACTTAAAAGTGGACGGATACTGGTTGATAACGTTCTGTTTGTTATATGCTGCAGTTTTGTCATTTTCACCTTTAAATGCTCAAGATCATTAAAGTCGGGTGGATTCTGGACCAGAATAAACCAGCAAAGGACCAGCTTAAACCAGAATCCCAGCGTCAAAACATACCTAACCAGCATATGCTGGTTTTTTCAACAGGGCTGTCAATGTTTTTATTATTCATCAGCTAAAAGAGATTGTTGTGGAAACAATTCCATCAATATTGTTCCTCTGTGTTGTTGACATTATAGCTGTGGTGTGGACTTCACTATTGTCAAAGAATTAGAATGATAAATATTAAGACTTTAGTTATAGTTAAGTTAGTTATCGTCCTTGGTGTAAACAGACCCTTATTCTTTACTCTTATCGAATTACTCCTAAAGACGCCTCTAGCAGAGAAACAATGTCCTTTCACGTTGGTCCTCATAATCTGAATGAGTGAGAGCTGAATATGTCTCACTGTTGAAATCATGAAATATTAATATTACATGTACTGAAACCCAGCTGTTGTCCTGACACTGAACACAATGCTATTGCTGATATCATCGCCTCTATGTTTCTATGATATAATATTTAAATGGTGGCATTATGTCTACCGTGTAACATGGAGGTTCATCTAAATTTCCTGGGCAGGGGGTTTTGAATGTACTGAAGCATATACTACACATTACACATAATATTGGTGAAATGGATATGGTTTCATGACATGATTCATGAGCAATTCTAATTCAAATCAGTACGACTGTATGTTGATTTTCATGCTTGCCATAAGAGGATCACCATGCAAAAAAGCAAAATAATTTGACAGTGGGTTGAGCAAAATAACGTTTTATTCAGTGTAAACACTTTTTATAGTCTAATACAGTTTGTTTAGTGTACAGTTGCCATTGTTCATGAAGAAAAGAGCTTTCTAAGAAATGAATATGGAAATTCTCAATAAACCATCCATTTATGTTCAATTATGTATTTGTCTTAGCCCTTCTGGTTATGAATCACTCTTCAATGATTCAAGTACAGTTTGTAGGGCAGTTATCATTAATATGCAAACATCAATAATGTTTTTTTTAATGTTAAATGCTTCATATTACTTGGCTGTTATAAAGCCACGAGGAGCAAATAGCTAATAAACTAAGAAACCTGAAGACTCTTGCCAGATGGCTGCCTGTGTCATTATGGGTCCTCTGTTGTGCTCAATATGTGTCATCAGACATTGTGGGCTTAAGGAATTTGGGTTTTAGAAACTGGGTTAAAGACTCATTAAACCATTTTCACTTTCCCATTGCTCAGGGGTCCAGGTTACTGTGATATCAATCTATGTATATTTGTCTCAGCTTTATGAAGCCCATGTTGTGGTAGAGTGGGTCACACAGGTTCTGGTTTATTGTAATTATTTTTGACAGCATACACAACAGTTTGTTTTCCTTTGATAAGTAATTTGTGGTAAATGTGTTAATTAGTAAAGTGGCAGGATGCAGCATTTCTAGGCGTTGTTGCATACAGTCAGCAGACTTAGTCAAATGAGTGTTTCTGAAGCTCAAAAACTAGAGCAGCGCACGAGGTCTTGGGTTTGATTTCCAGAGAAGTCATTAACTGGTAAAATGTATACCTTTCTGGACTGCAGATTTGCTTTGGATTTACACATCTGCCAACCCCTTGTGAAAAAGAAGTAAACTTTTAAAAAGATTACTAAGTGTGGAAATAATTAACTTTGAATGTAGAATATTGAATTAAGAATATACTTCATTGTGAACTGAATGCAATGTTTTTGGACATTTAGTTGCATATTATTTGCAATGTGAATGTTGCACAATGTTTCCAAAATGAAAATGTATTCATTTAAATGTATGCTTAATGCAATTAGTTGAACTTATAAGTGCTTGTTTCATCTTTACATGTAATTTCATAATTACTTCTATTGTCTTTTTTAGGTTAAAGTGATGAATGTACTTGCAAGCATCTATGATAAACTGAAATATACTTTAAAGTCATTTCTACTGAAACTTGTATGTTATGTATATTTGTAATTACACATTTGTAATGTTGCTATTTAGTACATTTTAAATATTACCTCTAAATGTAATATTGGGGGGAAAAACCCTACAGTTAAAATTATAACTTTACATGTGCTTTAGTATGTCAGTCAGTGCACTGCTTTAAAACATGGCAAAAGATTTTAAAGGCATATTTATTTAAAATGTACTTTAAGTTAAAACGTTTAATTTGGCATTATTACAAAGTGCTCCTTTTAAATAAAAAAAAATTCCATATTTTTATATTTAAGAAACAGCCATGAAAGTGTCTCCTGAAATACACTTAAGCGGCCTTTTATTTCATTAATATTACATATGCACGTTTTTAAACGCTTTTAACATTTTAAGTGCACATTCATTATAACTAAGCACACTTCCTTTTCACAAGCAAATGCATAAATGTCAAATAAACTGTCTCTACTTCATGATACGTCTTGACTGTCTGATTTCTAAAAGTCCTTGTCTTATTTGTCGATAAACTCTGATAAACACTGTTGAGACTCGTGTGTTCTTCATCTTGAACCATGACTGAGCATCATCACATGATAATATTATGTTGTTAGCACTGCATTGTACATTCTGCTGCTAACTAGTATATTGCATACTAGCAAAAAAAAAAAAGAATTCAGGTTGGCGATGAAAAATTGTGCAAAATAGAAGTGTGATTCTTTGCATAGCTTAATGCTGTTTAATCCAGTGGAAACATCCTAACAGAGGTGGAACCTTCTAACTGGCAGATTTGCAGTGTAGCAACTCAGCAACCATGAATAGAGCTCAACACGCTATACTTAACACACAATGGAATAACAGACAAAAATAGTTTGCTCTATTTGATTGAACTATTTTTATTGTTATTGATCATTTTCCATGAATGAATTATGAAGTATGTTTATAGTCAACATCTCTCTTTCTTTGAATACTATCTTTGAGCTTGAGCTTACAGTGCATTTTTGTTTTGTTTTACGTGTGCATTCCTATCATTTCCTACTATTAAACTGATGCAGAAGCAGGTTGCCTAAATGAGAACGGACTCTGAAACCAGCATGTCTCAGTGTCAGCTGCCCTCAAATGCTTCGGGAGCTTTCAGAATAATTTTTTTTGACTATTAAACCAACTGGTCTATTGCTTATTTTAGTGGATGTATGAAGTCAGGTCTCCTCAAGTTCAACCAGTGTCGTAGCAGAGTAAACACAGGTGTCGAGAATCACAAAAACTATGAACATATTCTAATATTTGGCAATCACAAAGTTTAAAAAAAAAAAATTTCTTGGTTTTGAATATGACATCTAGTGTTTTATCACTTCAGACACGTTTTGTGAAAATTGTGCTTATGCTTTTTTCAAATCAATTTGCCAGTTGTTTTGATATTTTGTTCTCGAATTCAATGGCATTCATACATTAAGTTGTCTCTGTCACTCTCTCTTTAGTGCTTGAGGAAGTCCGCTTTTCTGCAGACGTGTTCAGTCTTGCTTCGCATCACCCAGCACCATGTCTGGCTCTTACGATGAATCCGCTGTCGTTGATGAGGCCATGGACAGCTTTTGGGAGGTACAAAGACCACCACTTCCTTCCTTTAAATGTTACACTGTTAAGTTATTCAGCCGGTCATCAATAGTTATGTTGTGTTTTAGCCAGCTATGGTTGGAAAACAGGAGGATGCTGTGTTCACAGTATCAGAATCTGCCAGAAAGCTCACAATGAGCTCTATTTAGATGACACTGTCGGCCCCTGTGATGTTGCCAGAGCCCTTCATATCACCCTTTGTGAGGATCTGGCAGCCATTACAGTCTTAACATCATGTCAGTATTATGTCAAAGTGATCGCATATTCAATCAGTGCTCAGATAGCGATGCCTAGACCTAGTTTTTTGTGTGTGTTTTTGTTCTTTTTTGAGCAGTTTTTAAGTAGATACTCCAGCACAAGGTCTATTGAGTTCCAGAGCAGCACCTGCATCCTGACTGCAGTCTGAAAGCGTTGGAAGTGCCAGTTTCGTGTGTCTGACTTATTGATGGTGAATAAAGAGCCCCGCCGTGTGCTACTATGGGTTTTTATTTACAGGCTGATATGACTCCTTCTGCCTAGAAGGAGTACTTTGCTCTAAAGGTTGTTCAGAATGGAATACTACACTGTGAAATGTAATAAGTTGAGTTCACTAAGAAAACTAAAGAAACTGCTTGCCTTAAAATGTTCAAGTAAAGTAGTTCATTATTTTTGAGTTGATACAGCTTAATACAACTTTGTATAGGTAACCAGAATATGAGAGTAATTTGTAACTTAGTTTGACAAGTTCAAAAAGTACCGATACACACACTGAAATAATTTCATCAAGTTTTATGTCGAAAACCAACAAATAAAATGATCAGCTTTGCATTTTTTTTGTATGCATAAACATTGAAATAAAAACATTAAAAACGAGGGCCGGATTTTAAACTAACAAAAAATATTCATAATAAGTTTTATAAAATGATAAACCTCACATTTCAGCCTTTAATTTTTGTATTATTTTTATTTATTTATTATGAAAAGAGTGTGTCATAATGATACATTCTATTTTATCTGTCTTTTATCTTTCATGTTATAAGCTAATATGCACTCTAAAAATCTCAACACTTCGTATAACGAGGTAGACTATGTTCCATCGACTGGTTAAGATTTACAACAAACCTTTGGCCTAATTTTGCTTTGGTCTGAACACAAACTACAGACGGGCTGAATGAAAATGTAAATTCACTGTCTGACAGCAGGTGGCATTTATGGACCAGCAGAAATAGAACTGTTTCCTGGTAACCGCTGTAAACAAATCAGTGCTGCAAAATACTGCTTTATTATGCATTACATGTGGGAACATGAAAAGAAAATGCCATCGAAACTTTTCTGAAGACAGTTGGTTTCCCCTTATGCATTCATACAATTCATTCAATCATACATTTCTCTCAGCTGTCTGCCTTAATTCAGTCAAGTTTTCACACAAAACGAAACCTACTCTGCATGATGCGCCTGCGTGAGACTCTTACTAACTTTGCTTAAGGCTGAGCAGTACAGTACTTACCGTGAGTTTTTCAAATCGCGATAATCAAATACGGATTTAATGATAATTAAAATACAAAATGGAATAATTAAAATAACCTCATGGCTGATAAGTCAACACAAATATTTAATTTGCATTGGAGGTGTGAGACACCTGTCTATAGCTCACTCTGATTGGATGAAAAGTTCGTCTTGGCGAGCTCCCTCCAATCAGGCCACGAGCCACTAGTAGCTATCAAGCAATGTGTTGGAGACCCCTGTACCATATACTGCCCTCTAGAGCTATATGTCAGTATTTTTCAGCATTTTACAATATTCAATCATTTTAGGCATTCAAATAACCTGTGTTGTTTATAAATTCCTGTTGACATAACTGCAGTGAGGACACATTGTTTTTCATCCCTTTTAAACCCATCTCTTTAAAACTCAAAGTCTCTCAGAGCTTCCCTGGACGTGTGTGTGTGTGTGTGTGTGTGTGTGTGGTTATGATGTCATTGTTAGTGCAGCAAAGCGCAGGATTAGAGCTCTAGGAGCACTTGGACACAGAGCTGTGGCAGTCATTGCGTAACTTCACATGCACAAGAATGAGTCCCTTCCCCCTCTTATCACTCACACTCATTCCTTTCTTATGCCACCTGCAGGCACCAGGGAGAATGGTACACTATATGGTGTTCCTATACGAGTAACTCCAAACATTTTGGAGAAAAATGCTATGATTATATTATATTATATTATATTATATTATTTTGTCTTGTGAAATATACTGTATGTTTATATACTACTTAAAATGTTTGGGGCCATTTTTTTTTTCTTGGACATCAATAGCTGTTCTTCTTAACTCTCTAAGAATACTGAAAATATGTATCATGGTTTCCACAAAAATATTGCCGATGTCAAGCCCACCGGCCACGCCATTCACCCATAACCAAAAGAGGAGGATGAGGCGAAAAGGACTGCTCTCCGCCCTCATCATCGCCCCAGAGCGCCTCCCAGAGCTCGCTCCAGTGTCGGCTCCAGCCCCAGAGCTGGCTCCAGTGTCGGATCCAGTCCCCGCGTTTAGCTCAGAGAGGGTCCCAGTCCCAGAGTTTAGCCCAGAGAGGGCTCCAGTCCCCGAGTTTAGCCCAGAGAGGGCTCCAGTCCCCGAGTTTAGCCCAGAGAGGGCTCATATCCCCGAGTCTAGCCCAGAGAGAGCTCCAGTCCCCGATTTTAGCCCAGAGAGGATTCCAGTCCCCGAGTCTAGCACAAAAAGGGCTCCAGTCCGCATGTCCAGCCCAAGGAGTGCTCCGGTCCCCGAGTCTAGCACAAAAATGGCTCCAGTCCCCACGTCCAGCCCAAGGAGGGCTCCAGTCCCCAAGTCAAGCCCAGGGAGGGCCACAGTTCCTGAGTTAGACCTACGGAGGGCCTCTGAAACTGGCATTCTCCCCAAAGATTTTTTTTTGGGGGGGGGGGTCGTAGGGGTCCGTCCATGGAGGCTGGGCCTCCTGAACTGCCTGCTCCGCCATGGCTTCCTGGTCTGCCTGCTCCGCCATGGGTCCCGGAATGGGTACCGCCCTGGAGGCCGTCCGTCCCTGTAAGCCTGTCCTGAGAGGCCTCCAGAGCACCCACCCCCCTCCCCGTTGGTTATGAGGCGCGTGGCGTCCTTCCGGGAGCGGGGAGTGTTTTGTGTTTTCCTCCCCTGACGTGCTCCATGACCCAGTTTTCCCTCATGTTAAATTATGATAATTTGTTCCAGGTATGTCTAGTTAATTATCCTCGTTTTCCTGTGTACTTAACTCTAGTCGGTTCAGTCTCTCTCTGTCGGGTCTTAAATGTCATCTCCATGTGATACGTGTGTGTTCCCTTGTGTTGAAGAAAATAAAGTGTATTATGCTTCTGGATCTCCTGCGTCTCCGCGCTCCTTCGTCTCCTCGTTCCTACACAGTAGGCACATTGTGACATGCTGTGACAAGAAAACAAGTAGATAGAATAGAAATAGAACAGATAGTACTTACACAGGAATAAATTACATTTTAAAATATAAAAAACAGTTATTTTAAGTTTTAATAATTTTTCACATTATTACTGTTTACTGTATTTTTCATCAAATAAATGCAATCTTGGTGAGCAGAAGAGACTTCTTTCAAAAACATTTAAAACATCTTACCGACCCCAAACTTTTAAACGGTAAGCATATGTGCATATACAGTATGTTATGTCAAACAGCTTCATCAGAGCAGTACTAAATGCAATTTTCATAATATAATCTTGCAGATTCTTCATGGGTTATGTAAACTTTTGAGCAGAATTGTATATCAAGTTATATGTAATATGATTTATTTTTTCTTTTAGGTGGGAAATTATAAGCGTGCTGTCAAGAGAATTGACGACGGCCATCGACTCTGCAATGATCTTATGAACTGCCTTCAGGAACGTGCCAAGATCGAGAAGTCCTACAGCCAGCAACTCACTGAATGGTCCAAAAGGTGGAGGCAACTGATCGAGAAAGGTCAGAAATCTAAAGCTTTTTTCTTCATCCTCAAGATTTTTTAAGCAGTTATTTTAATTTTTCAGAACTGTTACTGGAAAAAGCCAACTCTGATGTAAATCATGTAAATGTAGTAGTCATCTCAGTATATTATTGTATGCATTTCTGATTTTGTATGTGTGTGTGTGTGTGTGGCCAGGGCCTCAGTACGGCTCTGTGGAGCGGGCCTGGATTGCCATGATGACAGAGGCCGATAAGGTGAGTGAACTTCATCAGGAGGTGAAGAACGGTCTGATGAACGAGGACATCGAGATGGTGAAGAACTGGCAGAAAGACTCGTACCACAGACAGATGATGGGTGGCTTCAAGGAAACCAAAGAGGCAGAAGAGGGCTTCAAGAAAGCCCAGAAACCCTGGGCGAAGAAACTCAAAGAGGTACAAATAATACGATTTTAATTATGTAAATTCTGTGTTAATGTACCTTTATGGGATGATTCCATTAATATGCATGTAAATTATGCATATCAGTAATTTAAATGCATATTTAAATATACAGCTGATGTATTATGCTTACATTATGTTTACATGTTTAAAGCAATAGTTCACTCAAACCTGATCTTTTATTATTTACTCACTCTTATGTCATTCCATCTTCTGTAAAAACACTATTATGTGGTTTTTAGAAGACTTGGCATATAGCACATAGATTCAGAAGTTCTACTTTTATGATACTTTTATACATAATGTTTGCAATTAAAGCCTGGAAGAAAGCAAACTGGTTTGGAACAATTCTTGAAAGCATTGTAGTGTCCTCAGAACTGACCCTGACTCTATTATAACAACTCGTTTCACAATTTCAGTCAGTTTAACTAAGCATTCTCTAAGCTTCATCCATTCATTTGCAGCATTGCGCTTAGTTAAAGTGTTGCATGTCTGGCTGCAGATGGAGACGGCAAAGAAGAACTATCACATGGCATGTAAAGAGGAGAAACTGGCTGCAGCCCGTGAGGCAGATGCGTCCGTGACTCCTGACCAGCAGAAGAAACTCCACGAGAAGACAGAGAAATGCAAACAGGACGTGCAGAAGGTGCGGAAAACTAATGATGAAACAAATTCAATTACTATTCACTCAGAGTGCACTTGGCTTGTCCGTGTTCCACATCGGTGATGTGATTTTCATCTATTTCCGTGTTTTAAGCACAAAAATAGCATATTCCGAGGTACTTTTGTGCAATTTAGCTTAGCATTCTTTTTTAATGGAGGCTGTGTCTCATGCTGTGTGTTTGTGTGTGTGCTGCAGGCGAAGGAGAAGTACGAGAAGTCTCTGGATGAGTTGTCGAAGTGCACACCGCAGTACATGGAGTGCATGGAGCAGGTGTTTGACCAATGCCAGCAGCACGAGGTCAAACGACTGACCTTCCTCAAAGAGGTTCTTCTGGACATCAAAAAACACCTTAACCTCACCGAGAACCAAAAGTCAGTGAAAACTCCAGGACCAGTGTGTCTGTACCGAATCACAAAGATAATAGTTTGTGCTTTTGCTGAGACCAAAACGAAATCCAGATCTCATTTGTGATCAAATTGTTTCAAGAACAAATTATCTGAGCTGCTCACATTCAATTTAGTGCGCTGTACTTTTACAGTCTGTCAATAGTTGACTCATTTGTGTCTATTTTTTTTAGGTAATAATATAGTCTCTTGAAGCACACAGTAGTGATTTTGTGATGTACAGACTGGAATACAAGTACACACTGACATGGTGTGTTCATGAATGTAGTAGCTATGTCTAATTCATGAACCTATCATTTGCATTGAGTCTTCAGTTAATTGATGAATTTTTGAGCTCAACTCACTGGCTCATGTTTCATCCGCAGTGATTAACAACTCACTGGAGTGAAAGCAATGCAGTTGTCTAGATTACTTTTAGTCTAGTTTAGGTGTACTTGTCAGAGCCTACTCATGAGTTTGTGTTTTTTTTTTCATGTTATAGCTATGCGTCAGTGTACCGTGAGTTTGAACGCACCATTCTGGCTGCCAACACACAAGAGGATCTCAAGTGGTTCAGTAATAATCACGGTCCTGGCATGCATATGAACTGGCCCCAGTTTGAGGTACACAAATTTTAATGAACAAAAAAACATTAGAGGCTTAATCAGTCATGTGCCCTTTTCAGGTTTCTGGGTTTATTTAAAAGATACAGGAACCCGGGGCTAGTTGTCACATGTCAAAGTGGTCACAAGATTTAAAATCCCAGTAAGGCTTTAAGTCAAAGGGTTAATTGCATAAATTCTGCCCTCTAGAATTTGATTTTCTTAAACCATGTTTAAAATGGCGTTAAATTAGATTTTTTTCCAAGCTAGATGTTTCATCATATTGATATAGTAGTTTTTGGGTTAGCAACACAAATTCAGGGACAACTATAATATTCTCTTTTTTAGTGTGTACACTGGCATGTTAAATGAACTTTGTTTTTTTTTTCCTGAAAAATGCAAATGTTCAGTTGCTGTTTATAGTGAAACACTGATTATCTGTTCTGAATCTGTTCCTCTCAGGAATATAACCCAGAAGCCACCAATGCTGTTGCCAAGAGAGAAAAGAAGAAGCCAGATGGAGTCGCTCCTGCTACTCCGAACACAGAGCATGCAGGTCAACCAGGAGACCGCGGCAGGTCAGACATCATCTCTGCTCTCCCCATTCCTTTCCAGTGTCCTTTCTTTTATCTACAATACCCTTTTCTCTTTTTAGAGGTTGATTGCTGTCATCTTCACTCTTTAAAAAAAGGATTTGAAGTTCAACAGAGAACTCTCTTCTGATCAATAATTATTTCTGCCTGTACAGGGTTCTCGAGTTGAGTTGACTAAATGGCTTTTTTTAGAGAATAAAAAGTTGTAGGTATCATTGTGCTGAGTTATATTTAAAAAAAATTTTATATAATGGTTCTGAAATGGCTTAAAGGGGACATCGGATCCCCATTCTCCACAAGTTGGTGTAATTCTGTAGGGTCTTCATGAAATATCTGTAACACGCTTTGGTTAAAATTCCTCAATGGTCGTGTAAAACAACACCCTTTTTACCTTGTCAAAAACAGCTCTGTTCACAGCGAGCCATTTTGGTGCATGTCTCTTTAAATGCTAATGAGCTCTGCTCACCCCGCCCCTCTCTCGTGTGGGAAGAGGCAAGGGATTGACACAATTGCTGCCTTGGACTCCATATATGGCCCGGAGGTGGTCTTATTCAAATAGCTAGCTAGCTATCTACGTAGAAACCTGCTGCAGATTGAAACTGTTTCAGAATCAGACAGCCCATAACAAACTGGCTGCATGTTTTCTTTTCAGCTTTTCTGAGCTGGCAGATAGGGTTGTGCCATATCATACCATCCACGATAACACAGGTATACATTTTTACATGACAAAAAAGTGTCATATCAATGATATAGCGACGCGATGACGTATGGCGCATTTACGTTCCCTAGCGCGCACAACAACAACACCACAAACCTAATAGGTGTGTTCGACTTGAAGCTGTGCTGTGCAGACATGTGTATGACATCAAAGTATCGCGAGAGCGGTTCCAGAACATATTCGAGCGCACACTCTTAAGTCACTCTCGCGGTATTTTGACATCATAAACCGATCGGTCTGCTTCAAGTCTGCAATATAATGCTGCTGCTGCCACCTTATGACAATAGATTTACACTTCGAATTAGGTAGTCTGTCATCGATCTGACAGTAGCTCATTGGAAAAGGATGGTTGGAAAATGCCCTTCATTTTGTTTGCACTAATAAATGCTGCTGCCTGCCAGCTGCAATCACCAATAAAACGTTGTTCCATATTTTTTTCTATATCGTCATAAATATCATTATCGCAAATATTCTTGAAATATCGTGATGTAATTTTGAGGCTATATCGCCCACCCCTACTGGCAGATACGCCAGAAATCCAGCTAAATGCTAAAAAAAAGTGACAATTTCATCCGATGTCTCTTTTAAAAAGATTTTTAAATTAAATATTTTATTTCAGTAATGGCAGCCCTGTCTTAAAACTGAAAGCATAATAGCAAATTATCAACAGGATTTTCAGGACTTTTAATTTGACTTAGTGGATGCATTATAAATCATGACATTTAAAACATTTAATTTTATTTGTAATTTTGCCACATATTTTATGCATACCCTGTGGTAATTAAATAGCTATTTATTTATTTACATTGGCAGGGGTTACACTGGTCTCTGAATCTAAGTCTTTAATGGACAAACTAAAAACCACTTAAAAATGTGTGTAGTGTTCACAGTATTGCTCAATTTTAAATCTCAAGTAAAAGCATCATGAAAGTATATTTTGAATATTCATTATTATTCAGCCCCAGAGCATTGATTGATTGAAACATGATGCACATACAGGTGCATCTCAATAAATTAGAATGTCGTGGAAAAGTTAATTTATTTCAGTAATTCAACTCAAATTGTTAAACTCGTGTATTAAATAAATTCAGTGCACACAGACTGAAGTAGTTTAAGTCTTTGGTTCTTTTAATTGTGAATTCTAATTTGTTGAGATAGTGAATTGGTGGGTTTTTGTTAAATGTGAGCCAAAATCATCACAATTAAAAGAACCAAAGACTTAAACTACTTCAGTCTGTGTGCATTGAATTTATTTAATACACGAGTTTCACAATTTGAGTTGAATTACTGAAATAAATGAACTTTTCCACGACATTCTAATTTATTGAGATGCACCTGTAGATGGTTTTCCAAATAACCAAACTTCAAAAAGTTCTGTTGGCATCTGGCTGTAAAACTATGTGGTTCTAATTTATAGCTTTACAAGTGCGCAAACTAAGATGGAATCTGTTACTGTATTTCCTGCTTCATGCTAACAGCACGTGTCCCCTGTCTTTGACTAGTGTGAGCAGCTATGATAAGAACCAGGCGTACTCCACAGAATGGTCAGATGACGAGCAGCCCACCGGATACTCGGGCAACGAGACGAATGGCGGTGCGAACTCTTTCGAGGAAGACTCGAGCAGCAGAGGAGGTGTGCGAGTGCGAGCGCTCTACGACTATGAAGGGCAAGAGCAGGATGAGCTAAGCTTCAAAGCAGGTGAAGTGCAAAGCAAAATAAATGATATTAGATCATCACAATATTATTAAAGGGTTAGTTCACCCAAAAATGAAAATTCTGTACCATGATGCAAGCGTGTGGCCGCCACACGCTCGCCGTCATTGTTAAAATTGCCATTACGATTCAGTTACGATCGTCATCGTACATGATACTGTCGTGAACGCATGTCCACAAGTGACGCAATAGAGACGAAAAAGTGGAATAAAGTTGTTATTTTTGTTTTCTTTGTGCAAAAAAGTATTCTCGTAGCTTCGTAACTTTACAGTTGAACCACTGATGTCACACGGACTACTTTGTCGATCATCTTGGTACTTTTCTGGACCTTGAACGTGGTAGTTACCTTGCTGTCTATGGGAGGGTTCGAGAGCCCTCAGATTTCATCAAAAATATCTTAAATTGTGTTCCGAAGATGAACGAAGGTCTTACAGGTTTGAAACAACACGAGGGTGAGTAATTAATGACAGAATTTTCATTTTTGGGTGAACTAACCCTTTAAGGCAGACTGGTGCAATGAATTATTTGTTACACAATACTTAAAGGAATGAAAATTCTGTCATCATTTACTCACTCTCCACTTGTTCCAGACCTGTATGAGTTTCTTTCTTCTTTTGTGTTCAACAGAAGAAAGAAACTCATACAGGTTTGATGGGCACCATTGACTTTCATAGTAGGAACAAAAAATAGTGTGGAATTCAGTGGTGCCCATCATCAACTGTTCGGACACTAAACTTTTTCTAAATATCTTCTTTTGTCTTCAACAGAAGAAATAAACTCATACAGGTTTGCAACAAGTGGAGGGTTAATGTAAATGATGAAAACGATGACAGAATTTTCATTCTGGAAGTGAACTACTCCTTTAAACTGTAACTATGATGTAAATCTATGAAAAGTCTTTATATTAAATTTCATCCATATACCACATGAGTTTTTTTTTGACTACACATATGGCGGATATGTTGCACTCTGTATCACCCACAGGTGATGAGTTAACTAAGATCGAAGAGGAAGATGACCAGGGCTGGTGCAGAGGTCGTCTGGACAATGGCCAGACAGGCTTATACCCGGCCAATTACGTTGAGGAAATCTGATCACCTGACTGGAGGACAACACACCTTTGGAGGCAGCTCTGATTGTCCGATCGAATGACATGGCAAAAACGCCAGAGACTTAATATGAACGACTTTCCCTGAAGATGTGCAATGCAGTCTTGTTTAAAATCAAAAAATCTTAGTAAAGAAAACCACACTGTATATATTGATCTTATCTGGGAGGAGAGGAAGAGCTTGCTCACTACTAATATCTATTTGCAAATATTTAAAGAGTATATACATACATACACATACAAATAAATGACCCATCAGTTATGCAAGTACAGGCTACACACATTATTTGTGCAGATTACATGTTATTTGAAATTCTATTACTGACATTAGCATAATATCCAACTGAACAGATATTCACGTGGCCACTCTGCTGTATTTTAGGACAAAGTTCATCAAACGGAGTCAGTGTGCAATTACAGATACTCGTCCAGTGTCACGTGTTAAACAGAAAATGACTCACAGCGGGCTATTCGTTTTTTCTCTTGCTCTCACCACCGGTCCATGCCTCGTTGCGCTGATTATTATATTTGGTATCGTTCTCTTGATGTCTGTGTCTTTATGCATAGCAGCATGCGCTATGGAGCATGTAGCCGTTGATTCCTCAGGCCATCTGTACTGTATGCAGTTCCCACAGTGACCACAGAGGGCAGCAGACTCATTTCAACCTCACACCTGGAAGTGGTGGCAAATCTCAGGCTATGTTCAGAACAGAATACTACCTAAGCAGTAGTATGGATACTGCATACTATTATTAAAGATAGTATGTGAAACAGTGCATTATGCAACAAGAAACGTTTCAAACAGCAGCATGCAATAGACCTTAGTCGGGGTAGTGCCGTATTTAATTTTTGGCAGGAATGAAACCGAGGCTGTGAGGGACTTGAAGCACAGTGTGTTCGATGGATTGTGCTGCTGTTTAACAACATATCGATTCTTCAGCTGAAGAAACATCATTACGAAAAACATTCAGTAGACAAAAACTCCATACAACTGTTTTGGAAGTTGTGATTCGGCAAAAATGACGTGATCTAGGACCTTTATACAGTGCGTGCCATTGTAAAGACTGTAAATCTATCCCTCGCAGCTTCGTTTTCATCCGTGTTAAATTCAACATGGCGTCTAACCTGGCTAAGATCCATTATTGCATGCAAGTGGCATCCAGGTATCATGACATAATACAATCAGTCTTGAATTTCAATTGGATGATACTGCCGAAATAGAGATGTTGAACCAGAATTATTTAAAGCCGTGATTTTTATTCATCAAGCTGCACATTGCATTATGGGGTCCATGCTATGTTGTAAATAAACTAAATCATCCAGGTATTCCATGCATATATAACATTTGCATACTGTACCTACTATGCATATTATATACTGCATGGTATGCAAGCATGATGTTCTGAACATAGCCAAAATTGTCCAACTGGTTGATCGTTGCACAGTGTCATCTCTCGTTCTCAAAATCATGTGTTGTTCTTAGTTAAAGAAGGTCTTGTACAAGCATTATCTCTATTTGGGATCTGTTCATGGTCACCTCTTGATACCAAATCAAGGTTCTTCAGATGGACATGAATGTTTCCTGTGCATTATTTGGGCTACTTATGCACAGCACATTGAACAGACAAAATCCACGAGTGAATTTCACACCTGTACATCCACATACATCAAGTTCAAAAGCTACTGTTACCTATATTCACAACTGATAAATTGATTCTATGTAGTTTCATGGCCTGTTAACTAACACACTCTGGTTTTGCATCAAGGCTAGTGTTTAAAGCGCGTAAAAAAAAACTTTCTGAAATACTAACTAAAATAAAAGTTGAAACATGGTGCCAAACTATGATTTGCAGGCAATATACTGTACAGTGGGCCAAGAATTATTTGGACACTTAAAGGGATACTCCACCCCAAAATGAAAATGTTGTCTTTAATCACCTACCATCATGTCGTTCAAAACCCGTAAAAGCTTCGTTCATCTTCGGAACACAATTTAAGATGTTTTGGATGAAAACCGGGAGGCAGCCGCACTGCAGGGATGCGCTGTTTTCATTCAAATCAAAGTGTAAATACACGTAAAAAACATATCCTTGTGTCGCGGCTGACACAGAAGAGCGTAAGCTGCTTGCGTTCATCGGATATTCTCCAAAATTGCGCTACGGTGATGCGGAGAGACACAGAGGAGACAAATTGTTGAATAAAGTCGTTATTTTTGTTTTCTTCGCATACAAAAAGTATTCTCGTCGCTTTATAACGTTACGGTTGAACCACTGATGGCCGATGGACTATTCTGATGATGTCTTTCATACTTTTCTGGACCTTGACAGTGTAATTTACTTGGCAGTCAATGGGACAGTCACAAGCCTCCTGGTTTTCATCCAAAATATCTTAAATTGTGTTCCGAAGACGAACAAAGCTTTTACGGGTTTGGAACGACATGATGGTAAGTAATTAATGACAAAATTTTCGTTTTGGGGTGGAGTAACCCTTTAAAGGGATAGTTCACCCAAAATGAAAATTCTGTCATCATTTACTCTCCCTCAAGTTATTCCAAACCTGTTGTTTCTTTCTTCTGTTGAATGCAAAAAAAAGAGCACATTTTGAAGGACATGTGTAACCAAACAATTAACAGTAGCTACTGACTTCCATAGTAGTATTGACTTACATATAAGTCAATGGCTACCGTCAACTGTTTGGTTACACACATCCTTCAAAGTATCTTCTTTGTGCCCAACAGAAGAAAGAAAATAATAACTGTTTGGAACAACTTGAGGAAGAGTAAATGATGACAGTTTTCATTTTTGAGTGAACTATCCACTATCCACTTAAGACACTCGTTGCACTGCTTTGGACAAAATATATATATATCAAATCACTTCATACACTTAAAAGAAAGATAACATAAGCACACTTTTCAAGCAAAAATCCGTATGCAGGATTTTGACATTTATATTATCTAAGCCATTCATACATTTTTAAGTGTGACTCAAGTGTCCAAATACTTTTTGGGACCACTTTATTTTTTATTCCTCTCACTGCTGAACTCTATATGACGATAAGCTATGATTCTGATACTGCAAGCCGTGCTCCTCACGTGCCTGTTTTTTTCCCAGATGGCATCACTCACAACATTGTGAATATGTGGAGTTGTGCATCGTTGATGGAGTTTTAGTATGGGAGTGAAAAAATGAATAATACATTCAGAGGAAAATCCCCCAGCAGCTTTGTGATTTGTCAAAAACTGTTCAGTCTAGAAAAAAGAACTTGGATTGTTATAAAAATGAAATATTCTGTAACGTACACAAAAAGAAGTATGAAGGGTACGCGTGTCGTATTGGGAGTATCCTCTTTATTATATTCAGTGTGTATGAGTTGTGTTTATGTATAAATAAAATACAAATGTAGTGTTATAATTGTAAATGTTGGGTAACAAAAGAACAACACTTTGAAAAAATAACACTGTAATGCTCTATAGGTACCATATTGTATTAATTTGGTTTTGACTGCAATGAAATCATTATGTACCATACCTGTATAAATGCGTGTGGGTCCACGCCGTCATATTTGTATATGATGATGTAATTTATTAAGATTATATTCTACTGTAACTGTACAACTGTGTTGAGTAGAAACAAACACCTAAGTTGAGAGAGTAAAGAGCGTGTAATGTAAATTCTATTTTTAATGTTGATTTGTACTTTATGCAAATGAAGGGATGAAGGTTTATGTTGTGAACGTTTCTCTTGCAGTGTATAGGACGTGTGTGTGTTCATAGTTAGTTGATGTAAATCGACCTCCTTGCTGGTGTAGTGCCTCCTCATCCATAACATAATGTTCATTTATATATGCATAAAGTTAATGATGATGAACATACTGTTAATGTTGAAAACCTGATTTGAAGTTTTTGTGCTAATGTCAATATTGCAATTTTAGTTTGGAAGGAGAAAACATGTTCGTTGAGAAAAACTTGCAAAATGTGTGCCCCATTTTTTGTGAAATTGTCACATTGAGAAGTTTAAATTAGTTTATTCTTTTAACAAAATGTAGCGAATCAGCTCATGGGGAAGTATGAATAATTAATCATAACTAGTTATAATTAATTATAAATATTTAGATCCGCTGTAGATATTTACTTGACCCCCCTAGGGTCAACCGTCTGTCAATTCTAAGAACGTTAATTTCCTGGTTTTAACTTTCAGACTGTACAACTCTACACAGAGCTTGTAGCAAAAATCTCAAAGACAACATACACAATGACCTGAAGGATATGTGTGTTCATTCAAAGAAAGGTTTTCCTATGGATTAATTAGGAAAGAGTCCATTTTTACTGTGTCTCTTCCTATGGAACATGCAGTGAGAGGGGGAGGCCTCTCCACATGCCATTAGGTCGTAAAATCTATCTGGTGTCAGGGTTGCCATGGTAACCAGGGTCCTGGGCTTCGTTCACAGACAACTTGGGATGTTACGCATTTCGGGGGAAAGGTCCATAGGTCCTCATATGGCTTGGTAACTGAGGGGTGTTACAGAGTATTTATTAAATATAGCTAACAAATATATATATTGTGTGTTTGATTGGTCCAGACGCTACAAAAATAATACATTATATGCTTTCACTTTTATTTTTAACAATTCATTTGGAAAGCTTCACATTATGGTTCACATTAGTGTAAGGCACCTAATTAGAAATCATTGTACAACATTTGCACTTTTCATGCATATTGTCTCAAAGATGACACTGGGAGGAACCAAGACTCAGTTAAGGAAGACTGTCTCCTCAGGTTGTTTTACAGTGGATTATATTTGAGATATTTCATCAAGACGTGTTTCTTAAGAATCAAATCCATAATGTAAATAATGGTAACTTAGTAGGGCCCTGCTACAGGAACAGAAAATAATGGAACGGCAGATGTTCATTAGCCACAGAATACATAAAATAAATACTTATAATAATTGGTGACTGTCATTGTAAGTTGTAACCCATCATGAGGCAGCATCAGGGTCACACAGTGGTCAGGAGGCATCTTACATTTGTCTGAAGTGATAATGGGTTGGATCTGGATCCCAGATTAGTAAACCTCTGGTGGGATGTCCCAAAGTGTGGGTAGAGAAGGGACGGAGTGAAGAATCCATTTGCCTACAGCTAAGAACTCTGTGAAACCTCCTCTTGTTGATGCTTGTGTAACTAAATTCTCTTCCTGAAGTTCTCCACTCAGTGGCTTCATTCACACTCTAGCAGCGGTCAGTTGGAGGTATGTATAATGGTTACAACAAATCAGACACCTCCCAAAATAATATCTGAGGGAAAACACTACAATAATGATTAAACAGTATTTTAAAAACAATATTTCTGAACTATACAAACAACTGAACATTTGTAAATTGATGTATTTTATAAATGTAACTTTTATGCATACTTACTAAATGCTTAAATACATGCTTGTGATAAAAACTGTTAAAAACATAAAACAAGTTGAACTTGGTATTAAACACTCGGATGCACATGTAAAGGCCAAGTACTTATAGCAACTCCTCAAACTGACAGGGAAAATCCCCTCCTAAAATGAAACGAATTGTTCATCTTGCACAAGACGTGTAAATAGTCCTGGTCAATGTAAAATTAATTACAGAATAGTAAAAATAAAACTTTTTAAAATATATATTAGTCTATATATTAGTGCTAAAGATTCATTGCACTATTGCGAATTATAAAATTGAGAGTTGAGACAATATATTTATTTTTGTAAACATTAAATAACCTTGTGCCAATTATGGCTATTAAATGGATAATTCTGTGAATTAAATATTTCACAAATAACGAGTCGTGTTTGAAAAAGCAATTTGAAAAGCATTTGTAAAATAGCTCAAGTACGCACATCCATGGTCACACATCAGTTGAATTCTATATTACTATGGCAAGCAATGCCATTGCTCAAGAACTATAAAATAACTAAACTTTCACATTTTACCTGACAACAGCCCTTAAGTTCTTCCACATCCAAACATTTAATTAAAAGGAAATAAACTCCTAGGACTCACCATAATAAAATAATATTTAATATAATATATAATAATCAATATTCACCATAAATTTAAGACAAAACAATTTTTCCACATTGAAATTAAATATAAAAAAAAAAAAATTGGATTTTGCAGTAAATCTGAGTGAGTATTGTATTGTAAGAAATTAGTGTTAAATATTGTAAAATCCTGGAAAATGTTAGTGTATTATTGCGCCATACCGCCCAGCTCAACTAAGAAAAATGCATCTTAACTTTTCAAAAAAGCAAACCAGCATATACTCTCCAATAAAATCAATATATTTATGGAGACTAGGTCGTTACAGAAACATTTCGGTCTGTTACATTTCTCAGGTCAGTTGTTTCATATAGTTGTGGCAATTTATGTGTAGAACACACACACTGAGGCAGTAAAGGAGCCCCTAAAGGGATGGTGGAAAAAATATGGGATGGGAGGAAATTATAATTTTTTTTCCCGAATCTTTTGCGTTCCCTCGCAAAAATGTTTGCGTTCTCTCACAAAACCAGTTGAGTTCGGACAAACACTTCCTATTTACTTTACAGCTTGCAGTGGTTTATACAGCCTGAAGAAATACAGCCAGTGCTTAGTTCGAGTCATGGTTTTACAGTTTATTAATAAAATATACTACATAGCCTACAGGAAAGTAGATAAGCCCAGAATATGAACAGAAAGCGCTAAATTGCACGTTAAGTGTTTTCCTCTCATAGAAGACATTAAAGAAAATGCTTAATTCAATTCTGAGCGTGATGGATTGTAGCGTGGTAGAAGACTAGTTAGGTACG